GGACCCCACTCAGTCCTATTACCATTACATATTATGAAGCTTTGGGTAATTAATAACCTGCGTCCCAGAAGTCCACAATTCCCGTATAGTCCTATATATATTATTCTTAGCGCTACACGTTCAGGTGGCATCACAGACTGGTTAATTTAGAGCTACAAGCAAAATGTCGTACTCTTTAGCATCTCACCTTTTTATTCACATATTGCAGGTATTTATCAAACAATAAAATAAAGCGACTGAGTAATGGAATGTTTCAGGACACTGGTAGCCTGGAAGAGATGTAAGTCAATGTTTTTTAGCCTGTTTAGCGGGCGCTCGAGTGCGTTGGAGCAGGGCGGAACAAGGTCTTCAGCTGGTTGAAGCGTTGCGACACGCACAGTGAAGTGTTTGCGTCCATGCGCGTGTTCTCGCTCTCGCGCACGGCTCTAACGCACTTCCTAATTTTACACGAGCACTTGCTAAGCATGCTAATTGTATTTCATGTCTTTCAAATTAGAGTAACAGTTTTTCGGATTCTTACTATTTATTGAGCGAATCAGTGGCAGAATGATCATCCAAGCACGGGCTCTTCATGTGGAGAAAAGGACTGATCTTTTTACAGTGTCAACACGCTTTTATTATATGACTAGCTCCGTGAGTTTCTAGGCAGGCAAGATGAAGAAGTGGCGCTGTGATTGGCTATCCGAGAAGGCAAGATGGCGCTATCAGTCTTGCCCGCTGTGTCCCGTAAGAAAAACTTTATTGACCAAACTTGTTCAGTCAAGATGGCTGGATGTTGTCTTTGTTCTTTCTTTCTTTGCGAGTTTATGGAACAATTTCACAAAAGATCTCTGATTTGAATTGATCATTTATAGATTATCAAAGGACTCAATGCCGCAAAGATGGTATCAAAGTACTTATAACTCAGCTATAAATTAATCTATTTATCAGATTCTTGGCCCGCAACAATATCGATGTGTTGGAAAAAGGATCATTTGCTGGCCTGGAAAATTCCCTTGTCATTTTGTAAGTATCATTCATATGGTCTTGCAAACAAAGGTGCATGACATGAAGTAGCCACTAGCGATAACTGTCTATTTTAATACACTGGCTAATGAGAAAACCTTGGTTAAATTATTACCTATCACATTCAGTTGTTCTTTCTTAATTTGATTTCAGGTTTCTGTCAAACAATTACCTTACTTCCTTGTCGAGGGGCGTGTTCAACAATTTAACTTCGCTGGAATATTTGTAAGTTTAAAAGATTCAACTATGTATCTAATTAATGCATAGTTCTGTAGTACGTCGAGTGGGCTCCAGTCTCTTCTTGTTTTGCTATACTGAACACTTCAAATCAAACTTCGAGCCATTTTGGCAAAGGATTTTAATACGCGAGTTACTAGTTGAATTCTAATTCGGAAATTTATGACAAGCAAGTTTTGGTCCAAAATGTATCACACAACTATAAGGGCTTCTTCAAATCACAAACAGCTAATAGGAACCCTCGTTATTTCAATTATAACAGGGATCCAATAACTACTGGACTACTAACAGAGGCGAAGCAAAATAAAAGCATGGACAAGTCATTTTGCTTATTAAAAATAAATAGATGTCACCTTATATCTCAACAGGTTTCTGAGTAACAATAGAATCACAGCAGTGGATTCCTTTACCTTCATGGGTCTTACATCTTTAATGTTGATGTAAGTAACGTAACTGAATACGTGTAATAAAAACAATGAATGAATTGAGACAATATAGCTTGATACGTTTTGAAAGGAATGAAAAGCTTAATTGCAGACTGGTACGTTGGACAATTGGGAATACTTCAATATAACAAATAAACTGAACTACAGCCCGTGACAACTTAGATTGATCGGAAAGTCGACTATTTTCTTTCTACCCTGCCCTCTCATCTAATGGTGTGGTTTACCTTAAGACTTAAATTAATCACGTCATATTATCCAGTAAAAATTCAAAATTAAAGGGCTTATCTGCCCTAACCTTTAACCTGCGTAGCGCGCCTAACGGGAAGGGAGAGGAGAGAGGGGAAAGCGTCCTTTTCCTCTTTATGGGTGCGTGTTTGGCCCACCCCTACCCCTTTCCCGTTTACGCCTGCCACGCAAGCCAGCAAACTTTGATATGTTTGCTATATTTTTATATGTTTGCTTGACTTACAGAAATCTGGCAGACAATCCTATCACGACCCTTGAGAGAAAAGCTTTTTCTATTAACGACGGGAAACTGCAGACAATGTGAGTTAAATGGTTAAGCTCGAGGAAAACAAATAGTCAGCTGAATTAAGTTGAAACCCATATTTCAAGACTCCTTAATTTTACAGAAGCTATAGTTTTCGAGAAAAGGAAAATAAAGGAAAGGTTGTATTGAAGCAGTCATAACTTGAAGCATAAGCCTGAGGCATGGTACAGGAAAAATTGCTCAAAACAACTCTGCTTGGCTTTCAAGTTGCACTTGATTTCCCTAAAGACCGCGTATTTGGGTGAGAGTACGCTGGACAAGTTTGTCCAGGTGAGATTAGTTTGCCGAAAGTTTGCCAATTGCCAAGAATAATAATAAGAAGAAGGTATAAAAACAAACAAACAAACAAACAAAGAGCAATCGTTAAAAGCAGTCGTCATTCCTGCAAACGACATAACATTTTATCTACTTGTTATTTTAGCACAATTTCGTCTCTGCAGTTATAGCGCTGCAGCCACTTAGTTCATCGTGTTTGCCGTTCTTTCAATCTTAGACATCAATTTGACATTCCTTACAGCTATGCTCTCATTGTACGAAGTTTTCAGAAATGTTGATCATGTAACATTTGTATTTTTTTTTTCGTGTTTAGCTATCTGATGAACACAGAGGTCGAAAAACTAAATCTGAGAGCTTTTGACGGTCATCAGGACGTCAAGACATACATGTAAGAAGTGTTAGTATTTCATCTCTGGAGCTCAATCGAAACCTGAACAGTGAGGACACTCCAACCACATACAGTCGACATTTTGTTTAACATTTTCTTATGATTAAGTAAGAGCCGTTCATATAAGCAAGATATTCATTAAGGCTGGTTTTCACAACGACTTATCGCATAACAGCATAAGCACTTAGGCATGCGCAAAATTGATTTTCGGTTCCTTACCTCCTCGATAAAGTAAAACAAGATGGCGGACTCTCGCTTTTGCTTACTATGTTCATGCTTAGAGCGGCGCGTTCCACTTGCCATAAGCATAAGTACAAACGCAAGAAGAACAAAAGAGCTGTGAAGAGCAGCTTTGGGCTGCCCACGTGAGAAAAATCCGTGTCAAAGTCTTTGGCTATTTCTAGACCCTCCTGGGATTTTCGAAACGGGAGTGATGTAAAAATAACTTAACAGGGATTCGGCTTGAGAATGATGCCTATATGGGGGATAGGCACTCTTAGCTTACCCTTCATCGTCTCTTGTTGTAACTTATTTTAATACATTTTCAAACAGATTTAATGCTCTTGCATGTAACAACTCATTACCAAAGTGAATGATCTAATCACAAATATCTTGCATTTCTTTTTTCTTATTTTTATTTTTTTTGGCTTTTCCAAGTTCACCTGAGCATGCGACTGATGGAATTAGCACAAACCAAAAAGGTTTGTTCATCGCTCTAACCGAAGCAGGGTTTGCAGACGGTAACAACACCTACAGATCTCCTTGTCCCACAGGAACATTTTCCCCTCATCTTGAGAACTTCTTGTATGGCACGGCACTTGAAGCTGAATGTATTCCGTGTCCCCCTGGTAACTATTTTTTCTGTGCATGCCTATCAAAATACGGTTGCAATGGAAACGTTAACTAAAATCATGTGATACCAAGATGTTCTCGAATAAATTTTAGGGCAAGCCACCAAATTTGTAGTTCCTTGCTTCAACGCTTTTAAAAGTTACAAACGCTCAAAGTTGAAAAGGGCCTCACAGACACCCTCCACCCCCTCCCCCGCTTCTCTCCCGAGGTAAGGTCAGAACATGACGCCATTCTCGTCCCTACTGTTGCTCGTTTTAAAAACGCTGTTTTCGCCGACCACATGACTGAAAGAAACGAAGGCTCTGGGGACGCTAAAACGAGGCTTTGTCCTTTATTGTGCCATTGTAATAAGTAAGTGACAAATGTCTTTTTTTTTAGGTGGGTTCTATTCGGACAGCGTTGCGCATGTCGATGACCGATGCTTTTTGTGCAATCCGGGAACTTATGTTCCACCCGAGAATGCACCAGGCAGGAGAGTACTGGATTGTCAAGTGTGTCCTCCAGGTAATTTGAGGGTACTATCATTGTCACTCATAGAAGAATTTCTTTTGACTTTGCGGAAACTGTGGAAAATCTGGAGGAGCTGATGTCCCGTTTCGAGCAGAGAGATTAATTGGTACCGTCGACTGTCTCACCTTAGGAGACCGAGAAATTACAGGACATGAAAATTGTTATGCAGGCACCATTCGAAATATTTTACATACAATTTTTTTGTCATTTATTTGAGTTCACAAATGGTAGTATTCTTATTCATATCATCACAGGCACCAATACGGACCTTGATTCTGGTTACCGAGCTTGCAAGTGTATCGACAACTTCCATCGTCATGATCGCTTTGGTCCTTGTCTAAGTTGTCCCTCTGAGGGCCTGGATTGTGTAAATGAATCCGTTTCCCTGAAGAAGGGTTACTACTGGCAGTGGGATTCAGACGAAAGCATACTTGCCTACAAAGCTTTCGCAGACAATTTAAAAATCGAAAACGACTTTTACTACAGAAATACGTCTTCTTACAATGGGACTCTTCCCCAGCCCTACCAGTGCCCTCGGGTAGAATCTTGCAAAGGAGGACTGGAGTCTCAATGTGCCACAGGGTACTCAGGCCTGTTATGTGAGGTGTGCGAGAGTGGGTATTACAAACGAGTTCTTTCCTGTAAAGCCTGTCCGTCCGGTTCTTGGGTCATCGCGCAACTTTGCCTTTTAGGCCTGGTTGTTCTCGTTCTCATTGCTATTTTGATATGGAATGGAAGAAGGAAAAAAAGCAAACAAAAGCGCCCCATGATTGACATCCTCTTAGCTAGGCTGAAGATTGTGATTGGCTTTTACCAGGTTACATCCGGGATAGTGGAAGCATTTGTCTATGTTAAGTGGCCGTCATCCTTGTCTATGATTGGTGATTACGCTGAAATTATCCAGCTTAACATTTTACAGTTTGTACCGCTTCATTGTCTCTTCCCCTCGTGGAAACAAGATGCCTTTAGCAACATGTACGTTATTTTAGGAAGCAACGTTTGCGTGACAATATTCGCATTTGCTGCTTATTGGATCAGGAAACTTTTCCTTGCGAGGAAACTTTCTATGAAATGTTCAGAAATGAGGAATGCCTTGTCCACGACCAAAGAGTTCCTATATCGTAACGTGTTTTTATTTCTCTTTATAACTTACCCTAGTACATGCTCGACAATTTTGAGAACTCTTCCTCTCGCCTGTCACAAGCTTTGTACAGAGCGTTCCTGCGCTCTTTACCTAAAGGCAGATTACAGCGTAAAATGTGAGGGAGAAAAGTACGAATTTTTTAAGCTCTTTGCCTTCGGGGCATCGTCGTACATCATTCTGCTTCCAGGGCTCGTATTCGTGGCTTTGTGGAGGCGTAGAAGACAGCAGCTTTCGTCAGCTCAACGCGGGGATAACAACAGAGTAGATTCTAACCCGGTTGATCCAGAATTTGGTGCGTATAACACTGCTGAAGTTGCTGAAGAAAACGGCGAAGAAGCCATCGAAAGTGATGAAAATAGTGGTAAGATGTGTTTTAGAGCGCAGATCATCTGTAATCTGCGGATAATAGATAGGTTCATAAACAAGCAAAAACTAACAATCATAAAAACTTTAGTGTCTTCATAACGCCATTGTCAAGGTAATGAAATAAAAGGAATACAAATTCTGCAGTTAAAAAGGGAGAAAAATGAATTTACATTCTCAGTGCGAGACAAAATTATAAAAATACTTTTGCACGAATTATTGGTAATAGTGTAGTTTAGTTTAGTTTAGTTTAAGAGTTCGTCACCAAAAGATATAAATATTATTGAGGAAACTATTACATTGATAGTGGTTTCTCAACCTGTTTATTTGCAGATAGAAGCCTACAACGAAACTACAACAGGCAGTAAACATTTATGAGTAATGACAGCTTCTAAACGTTAGACCTGTGGCGTTTACCACTGGCCTTTATATACCGATGAAAAAAATGCCTAAGCCATTATACAAATGTGCACTTCTAGCTGCTTCGACCATATTTCTCTCTCTTCTAACAGTTGATGCAGGCAGTGCTTTAAGTTTCTAAATAGTTATTATGCTTTTCCCAAGAGCAAGAGTGTTTTTCTTGATTCACAGAAGAGCCTAGTGACGAATCAGAACTCATTTCTGGTATGAGCTTCCTTTACGAGAACTATAATGAAGACGCGTGGTACTGGGAGCTAGTGGAAGTGGTGAGAAAGCTTGTGTTGACTTGTGGGATCATTCTAATTGGCCGTGAGAGCAGAGCTTACGTGGGCCTGGCCTCCATTTGTTCTGGACTGTTCGCTATCGTGTATGCCTTCCGCAAGCCCATTAAAGATGAGTTTGAAGATAAATTACAACTAACATCTCTTCTTGTGATATTCCTCAATCTTGGTATTGGAGTTATTTTAAAGATTCCCAAGGAGTCTGTGCCGTCAGATGTGGACCAACATGTGGATTCATTATTGGTTAATATTCTTGTTGTTGGAGCGAATGTTCTGGTTATTTTACTAGTTGTGGGTAAGTTAACATTCATATTATGTAATTCTTTTAGGTTCATTGTGAATAAGACGCCATTTACGACTTTGTTAAATAATTGACTGACTAATTATTGATGATTCAGACTGAGTCGGCTAATTGACTCGTCATGGCTGACTGTGACTGACTAAGTGACTGTCTGACTGACTAAACGGTGATCACGAATCACTGACTGACTGCCTTAGCGATAATGGCTCAACTGCCTGCTTGCATGCCGACTGTCTGTCTGAGTGACTGACTGTGTGACCATGTTTGCCGGACTGACTAAACGGTGGTCATGATTTACTGACTGACTGACTTTTTAAAAGGGAGATCTGGCTTAGTCACTCGTTCTTTCTTTTCACATAGTTCTTTTGCTCGTCACACATGCTATATAAACTCACCCACCACAACAATCATTTGTTCTATTCGTCTAACACTAGGTCGTTACCTAGCTGTGTTGATACACAACTTCATATTGTGGCGAAGAAACCCGCAGTGCTCCGCTGCCTGCTGTATTACCATGCTTCTGTCCTTGAACGAACTGGGCAGTGGTGTGAATTCAGTAGCGACTGGAGGGAAGTCCATCAAGATGCACATGGGTATAGGGAGGGTGGACATGCCTTCAATGCGAGCATCTGTAAATGATAATGTTGGCTTCGAAATAGAAGAAAATGGTGGAGACACAACAAAGGAGAAGAGTAAAGAAAAAATGCTGAAGGCTGTAAGGTTTATGTCGACAAATGAACGTAATGATGAAACGGATATCAAGAACAGAGGGAACAGAGCTTCTGATGGACGCCGTTTCAGTCGTTTCCCGACAATGCGATCAGAAACTTTGGATTCTAATTAGAAGACAACTGAATTAACACAAATTAAGTATAATTATGATTAATGTTTGTTAAAAGCGAGTGACACTTGAAAACCTGAATACTCGAAATCGTTGTACACTACTTGGTGAACGTGGACGTGAATTACTTCTAGAGTTCTTGTGGCTGCCCTGCAGGACAGATGGCGCAATGGGCCCGATACACGAGTTGTTGAGCTTATTACGCGCGTGAATTTTACATGTAATGGCCGTACGTATAGACGCTCGTTAATCTATCAAAATTCTGACCCGTTAGCGCACGTACAAGACGTGACAACGGAAATTCAGCGTTTATTTCTAGTTGTTACTTTCTAAAGCTCTAGCGATTTGCGCCCGAATTCGCGCTTCGCACTCGATCGAGTATGTCTCTCCGCGCTCTGCCCCGCTAAAGCGCCTGTTCTGCAGTTACTTGTGAGCGTTGTTTTGTCGGTGAAGGCAGGGTGGCCATTTGTTTAAACTTTCACGTGGACTTCGCAACGCATGTACGTATACTAAATGAAGCTCGCCGTTTTATTATGTCAGCAGTTCTTTAGTTATTCTTGTCATGATAGAGTCCGAAATACAAATTGATTAAAGCCATGCATGAGTAAGAGCCAGGTAGTATCTAAAGGTCGCTAATCTAGGAAACATTGTTGCTGGCTGATTTTGAAACCATTTTGCAACGAGGAACTTTATTTCACAAACAAAGTGGCACGCATGCCCATAACAACTGTACAACAAGTCTATTAATAATGGTAAAACGACGGAGTGAAGGCCAATTCCAGGTGATTAATCTTCTCGTCGCCAGGGCTACGGGACGGCGTTGAATTAGCTGTCTTGTTTATTATTATGATAGCTTGCTTGGATTTGACAGAACGCAACTTTTTTGTTGTCTTTACACATTCAGTGTAGTCTTCACATGAAACTGTTGATCTCTATGAGTTACACTGCCACTAACGCTTTCGGCGCATTCTGCAAAATGTCCCTACCGGATATCAGGGGGAAGATTCACAGTTTGCTATCTCATACCGGGGCATTGACCGAAACTGACGCGCAAGCTCTCTGCCAGTCTGCCGGCGGGGAAACTGGTGATCAGTTCGAACGTTCGTTCCCACTGGCTGATTGAAGGTTGTGAAAAAAGAGAGATAAATGATATCACTCGTAGATGTTGTCTCCCCTCTTCTATACGAATATACGAAGATTCTTACAAGAAAAAGCTGGAGTTTTTCTTAAACACCCGAGCGAAATCTCATTGTCCAACGGTTCTTTCAGGCGGGTTTGTTACATGACCTTATATATATCTCTGACTTTCCAACGTGACAACCTTATTTCCAAATTTAAAAAGAGCTTAGAGACAGTCTCGACATTCAGTGATTAAGTGTTCATCTGTGTCCTTATCTGCCTATTATGATCATATCATAAATTATATTTCGTCCTATTTGAGAAGGTTGAGAGGTGAGGGGCCAAGAGTGAATATCATTTTTGAGTTTTACTTAATTACAGTAATTTTACTGACAACATTTCCTGTCACCACAGTTGACGAAATACTCAGGATACCTCACCTCTTTGTATGCCTCCCCCATGTCTTGACCTTCTATAATCTGTGAATCCCAACTTTGAATACCTGACATACTTGTTGAATCATACTAGTCGGGGTGATTCAGGCTGGTTTCATGCCGCGAAAATCAAAACAAGACTAATGCGGTAGAAAGCCATACAAACAGTGAAGT